AAATTCTTGTTTCTGTATCTCCGAAACCGCTGGACCTGCCTTAGCAAAATTTAACAAAATCTTCATTTCGTCAATATAAGTGATATGTTTTTTAAATCATCCAAATCGGATGCTCCGTTCTCTCAAAAACTCGACGTTCATTTGCTGCACTCTTTGCATCGTATCTCCGAAACGCCTGGTCCAATTTAGTCCAAAAACTAATCAGCATGCCTCCTTATCAATAAGAATCGAATGCTTTTTGAATAATTCAAATCGGTTAAGCGGTGCTTCCGAAAACGGCGACAATGTATTGTATGTATACATGACATACTACATACACACACATGCAAAAATTTTCATTTTTGGTTTTTAGACAATTGGTATAACTTACCCTAGTTAGTTGAACAATAGAACTTTTTTAAAGTTTCCAAAAAAAAATTAAAGCATTTAAGAATTTTTTAGTACTATGCACCTCTAGTTAATAAATTTGTGTCCTTGATTTGTGTTTAGATTCATAAAAATTTGAAATATTAGCTGACCCTCTTATGAATAACAGATAATTGACCATCATTATAGAAGGTTCAAGTCCAACTAATGCTAATATTTTCATATTTGTCATTAATCTAATAGAAATTAATAAATAATAGTGTCATTGAGCAAATCTCGGATTGAGATTTTCCTCGGATTGAGAGACAAAGACCTCAATCATCATGTTGACAGCTTCATAACTAAGTAGTTTGTTAATGACAACAAGTCTTAATAATAAGATTTGTGACCTCGCATGCAAAGTCTACTTCACATGAGCATTTATTAAATATAAATATTATTTAAAATTTTATTTGTTGGATTAAAGAAATTAATTATTATTTCTGTACATGCCATTGATCATATAATAGATAGTAGTTGGCAAATTATTGTAAACTAGTGGTGCATCGAATTGTGCCTTACGGCAAATTGTTAGAACTTCCGTACTACAATTAAATGTTCTAAGAATAAAAATAATGAAAAATCGATTAAAATTGATCAATAATAATTAATAACACTTATTAACTACCAGTAGGGTAAGTTATAGTAATCGCAACAAAATCGAAAATGAAAATTTTTATATATCTTTACGTTTAAAAACCTTCTGAACATTTTGGCATACCTTAGAAAAAATGGATATATGTGTTTGTGTGTGTACGCGTGCGTGTATGTGTGTGTGCGTGTATGTGTGTGTGTTCGGATATAAATTTTTGTCGACGATTTCGGGAACACGGATCAACCGATTTGAATAATTCAAAAAACATTCGATTCGTATTGATCAGGAGACGTGCTGATTAGTTTTTGGCAAAGGCAGGTCTAGCCGTTCCGAAGATACAGGGCAAAAGGTGCCGAAAACGGTAACTCAGCTTTTAAGAGAACGGTGCGTCCGATTTTAATAATTCAAAAAAACATTTTACTTGTATTGACAAGATGAAGAATTGATCAAATTTTCATGAAGGCAGGTCTAGCGGTTTCATAGATCTAATAAAAAAAGTAAAAAAAAAAATGCCATTTGGCGGTCAATAATGATCATTAGACATATGCACATCAAATTATCAGATATTTTATAGAGATTTTAACAATACGTATAAATTTTGTTTGCATTCCTATGGGTTCCGTACCAATGTTTATTCGTTAGACGGCGACGCGGCGCTTACGCGCTTTGACATTTTGTCTCTATGCAGTTAAAGCAGTACGATTGCTTTGAAAAAAAGTTCAGAATTTCCAAAATATGTCAAAATAAAAAAAACATTTTTTTTCAAAAAAAGTAAATTTTTGTCAAATTCGTAGTTTCTCAAAAATCTAATTTTTTCCAGCAATTTACCTTAAGGCTAGATGCCATGCGCCCCACTAGTTGAAAATTATATTAAAGTCTCAAACTAAACAACCGTACTCACAATCGAAAACATTAACGAAAGAAAATACTTTTGTTATGGATTTTGAAACATTGCCGTTGATCCTCCGATAGCAAAAATTTTTACATATTAATTTTATAAAGTACTTAATTCTATTATTATAAATAAGTACAAGTTTCTAGCTCTTCAATTATTATTAATCCCAGAGAGAATTTACGAAGAAGTATGCGTCCAAGGACTTCTTCACGTAATTACGGAATTGTTAACTTTATCAGTAAGTAATAAGGTTGGATGCATGCTTGGTTGCGCACGTCATGAATTTTTTTACACAAAAAAATTTATAAGATGTAAAAAATATTATTAAAGGTGTGTGCAATTGTTAGCTTTAAATGAGGATAAAGTGTTCAACGTTGAGGACGATTGCACACGTAAATCAAGAACTAACACATTAGAAAAGAAATATATTTTATCATAACAAGATTTTTTTTTTTTTGATCAGGTTTTGGTAGTCAAAGAAGTTGGCAGTGTTAGGTGTGCCCGAATAATTATTAACTTCCCTTAGGGTAAGTTATTGTAATCGTCCAAAAATCGAAATTGAAAATTTTTACATTTTTTCACGTTTTGAAGGTTTCTTAACATTTTGGCATCAGTCAGGTGTGTGTATGTATGTATGTATGTATGTGCAATTTTTCGTCCACGTTTTCGCGCGCACGGATCAACCGATTTGAATGGTTAAAAAAAACATTCGATTCCTATTGATAGGGAGATGTGCTGATTAGTTTTTGGCAAAGGCTGTTTTCGGAGATACGAAGCAAAGAATGCAGAAAATAAAAATCGAGTTTTTGAGAGATCGGAGCATCGGATTTGAATCAATCAAAAAACGTTCAATTCGTATTGACGGGGAGAAGTGGTAATTAGTTTTTGGCAAAGGCAGGTCCAGCGGTTTTGTTTGTTTCAATTTTTTTCTTTTTTTTCCATTTTTTTTGTTATCGAAAATAATTCAGATTTTAATTGTAATTCTGACTTAAGTTCTAATATATTTTATACAAATATTTTCAACTTTGTAATTCAGTTTATATCATTCTTATAAATATTAGACAATGTTACAGTATTTATGTATAATAATCTATTTGATAACATTTAATATTCCTCGAACTTTTCGTTACGGTACGGAACGAAAAACATTCGATTCTTATTGAAAGGGAGATGTGCTGATAAGTTTTTGGCAATGGCATGTCTAACCGATTAGGAGATACGGAGCAAAGAGTGCTGAAAATAGAAATCGAGTTTTTGAGAGATCGGAGCATCCGATTTGAATGATCCTAAAAACATTCAATTCGTAATGGCGGGGAGAAGGGGTGATTAGTTTTTGGCAAAGGCAGGTCCAGCGGTTTTGGAGATACAGAGCTAAATGTGCAAAAAATGGCAGTTTTTGAGAAAACTAAGCGTCCGATTTGAGTGATTCCAAAAACTTGAATCTTGTTTTTACAAAATAATTGATTTTGGAAAAAATATTATGCTTCATTTTATTTTTTCTTTTATTTTTTGATTTTTCTGATTTTTATTTTAATTCTATTCTAATATACTTTGAACAAATAATTTCAACTTTCCAATTTAGTTTATATTCTATTTCAAAACATTTAATATTCCTCGATCATTTCGTTACGGTACGGGCAAGTTCCAGCAATTTGCCTTAAGGCACGATGCCATACACCCCACTAGTTATTTCAAGCAATCAGAATTATTTGACCTGCAAAAGTTGTTCACTTGAAAACTTTATCTAATATTTTACGAGAGGATTTTACCCAGTTACAAATTCTCCTTTGCGACGATTGCATACATATTAATAGTTATGTTAATGTTAGTATGTTACAGCAATGCCACCAAAAAGTTATTTTCACTTCAAATCATATTTGAGATCTATGATCACAAGCAAAAATTAGGTATCATACTACATTGATACCACATTCTTTGCTTGTACTCAATGACGAACTCAGTTTTACTTAAGAGTTTTTTTTAACTTCTCATAGGGTTAGATATAGTAATTGCATACTCGAGAGAAAAATAATTTACATTTGTGTATGTGTAGTATGTATGTATGTATGTGCGATAACAAATTATCGTCGACGATTTTGAGAACACAGATCTACCGATTTGTATAATTCGATAAAAATTCTATTGCTGTTAATACGGAGACGTGCTGATTAGATTTTCGCAAAGGCAGGTTTAGTAGTTGCGAAGATACGGAACAAACAGTGTCAAAGATGGTAATTCAATTTTTGGGAAAACGGGGCAACCGATTTGAAATATGTAAAAAACATTGTGCTTTTACTGACGAAATGAAAAACTGATAAAATGTTGGAAAAGCAGGTTAAATGTTTGGTGATCAAAAATGATCATTAAACATATGCGCATCAAATTATCAATTTTTATAGAGAATTTATGAATAAGAATATATTTGGTTTACATTTCTAGGAGTTTCGTAACAAAATTTAAGTATAAATACTTAAATCTTGGTACTGTTATTGCGGTGCTTAAGTGTTTCGATATTTCGTCTCTAAAACAGCTTTTAGAAACTTAAAAAAAATTCAAAATGTTCAAAAAAATTCTAAATATAGAAGTAACGTCAAATTTTTCAAAAAAAAAACATTTTTTTTAAAAAAAATCCAAAATTCATAAAAATCTATTTTTTTTCAAGGTTTTAAAATCTATTTTTTTTCAAGATTTAAAAAAAAAATGTTAAAGCTTTTAAATAAATTAAATTACAGTACGGAAAGTTTGTCTTAAGCAATTTGTCTTAAGGCACGATGTCATTCACCACTATAGTTGTAAATATTATTTATAAATGATAAGACATAATCATTAAAATTACGTGAACAGTTATCAATTACTGTACAATATATTTTTCATTTGTGATAAAGTCTCATTTTATAAGTTTTAAAATTTTCAAAAGTGTTAAACTTGTAAACGACATTAATATCAAGATATAATATTATCAAGATATAATATTATCATCATGATATTTTCACTTCAATATTGTGTTTGCAGTTTAGATTTGTATGTTACTTTTCAAGGAAAAAATATAGAGGAGACTCCTGAATATAAAGAAGTTAAAATTTATATTTTTAAATTTGTACTTACTCACGCTGCATCTGCCTTTAAAAACGCTATTTCACAGAAATTATACTGACCTGAAAGAAGAGAAAAGAAAATTCAGTAAATAAAATCTAATCATACATACAAATCATCATTCTGAACCTTTGAGAGTTCAATAATCATATTTGAAAATTTAAGAATAAACCAAATTTAATAGGCAATAAACATTTAATGTTTATATTAAAAAATGTTTTCTAACACAATAATTATTGTAATTTTATATTATATTATGTTCATACAAATACTAGGTTAATAATACTACTATATATTTTTGTCATTTAATATTCGCATGAAAAATAAATAGAAATGAAGTATATAAAGTAATTCTCATTTTATAAAAAGCCAGTTATATATTAATCAATTTTTACTAGTAAATATAGTAGCTGTTAAATACTTCCTAGTTCTTAATTATGACTCGAAGAAAAAAAAATCATTTTAACGATTATAACATCAATATCATATAATACTGATTATTTACTGTGATATATATATATATATATATATATATATATATATTTGAATATTCAAACTTATCTATCTAATTTCAAAAATCAGAATAAACACTTTATATTTCAATACCTAAAGAAAACTAAGTTTGAAATTAGGTGTTATTTCCCGTCCACAAAAGTAGGTTTAGAGAACACATTAACTCATATAACTAGTAGTCGATGTATGCCAAAACCGATTAATATTTTATAAATGGCACATATTACCTATATTTTGTTGATGTAATAATAATTTTCACTTTTTTGTATCACATAACACGCATTCGATTTACACTTATAGCAGTGATGGCAAAATACATGAACTACAATGAACGATAGAGAAAACTTTGAATCAAATGAATTGAAATGTATTAAATTAAAAAATATATATTATTTATTAATGCAATTTTTATCTATATTTGTCTCCTATCAAGATATGATAGAAAAATATATTACATCAATCAGAAACATTATTGCTTGTATGTATTTAATTGCAATAAGTAGCTATTAGAAACCACGATTGAACTCTAGATTCCACATTATCTCTGAAGCTTATAATAACCAGTAAATTATAAAAATATATATTAAAAAAACTATATGTAATTGATTCAAAACTCTCCGGAAAGGTTCCAAATTTTGAGAAAGAGTGAACTAATAATTTTTGAACTACAAAATAACAACTAGTGTTTAGAACGATATGGCCAATCTTATTCTAGCAAAACTTTGTCACATCTAAATTAAAATCTAGCAGTGTAATATTAAGATGTTCTTTTTTTAATGATTTGAATAATTTTTCAATTTTCTAAATATGCATAGATTTTTTTTGAGGAAATATAAATAAATTACACGTCGTTTTCAACTGAAAAATCCGTTTTTTTTACCTTTACCCAAAGCCAAATGAATTTTAACATTAATTAATGTTTATATGGAAAGATTAACCATTTCATGGCTAAAAAAATATGGTCGAACACATTAAAAACTAGTGGTTTAAAAACTTTTGGCATTTTTTTTTATTTTGGAATATTTTGAAAATTTTGAATTTTTTTTCAAAGCAACAGCACTACTTTAGCTGCATATAGACAAAATATGGAAGCGCGTAGGCGCCGCGTCGCCGTCTAACGGGAAAACGACGTTCGGAACCTATGGAAACGTAAACAAAATTGTTACACATTATTAAAATCTCCATAAAATATCTGATAATTTGATGTGCAATGTCTAACGATCATTTTTGACCGCCAAACGGCATTTTTTTACTAGATCTCCCAAACCGCTAGACCTGCCTTCTCAAAAATTTAATCAGTTCTTCATCTTGTCAATACAAGTGAAATGTTATTCGAATTATTAAAATCGGAAGCTCCGTTCTCTCAAAAACTGTGTTACCGTTTTCCTCAGTATTTCTCGAACATCTCGTTACGGTACGGGAAGTTCCAGCAATTTGCCTTAAGGCACGATGCCATACACCCCACTAGTTATATTATTCTAATTGGACGCTCCGTTATCTTAAAAACTGAATTACCATTTTTGGCAATTTTTGCCCCAAATCTTCGAAACGGTTAGGCCTTTCTTTGTCTCCCCATCAATACAAATTAAAAGTTCCCAAAATCGTCTACAAACATTTGTATCCGAACACACACACACACACATGCATTCATTTTTTCTAATACAGGTATTCGAAAATGTTCAGAAACAGAAACAGAAATGTTCTCTACGGTAAGTTAAAAAAAACTTAAATAATCCATACAAGTTATTGCATTTGATCAATGGCTATTGAATTTTATAATTTGGTCCAGCCTTTCTGAAAAAACTACGACTAAAAATCATATTTTGTCTCACATATACGTATACCAACACAGTTTTTTCAATGTTCGCGTCAAACAATTCAGAATAATTTGCAACGTCGGGAAAACAAAATCAGCAAACTTAATTTTCCAGCAAAAACATAAATCTCTTTCAAGAATTTAAAAATAAAAGTTGTTACCAATCACATTTGCATCGATAGATACACATTTTGTCGAAATTGTGCAAATCTGATAATTTTAGAAACATGTAAATATTGTTACAGGAACGGAAACAAATATTTTCAAATCTAGATTATTTACAAGCCAACGGAAGATTTAAGAATAAATATGCACCAATCAAAACAATTTTCAAAATATGATTTTACCATGTATTTTCAAGTGAATGGCATATAAAAGTGGCCCGGGATGTTGAAACGTTGCAAACAACTGTCTTATACAGTAACAACATAACGAACATATGTCAATGCTCAACTTTCTCCAATATAACGCTTATGAATAAATTAATAACAGGAAAGATGATATTATCGTACACTTTATACCTAGGCGGCACATATTCAACGGTGAATCATAACGATTTATGATATAATCATAAAAATGCAGAAAAGGAGAAGATTGTGAGTAAAAAACTTCACAACTGGCAATCACATATTGTAGTTCCCGTGGTTTAGAGGTTAGAGCTGTGGGATTTGAAATTAGAGGTCCCTGGTTCGATACCTGGAGCTTTTTACAATATTAGATGTTTTTTTTTTTTGATTGAACAGCAATCAGAACTTAAGAGTCCTATAAGCTGTTGTAATAATTAACTTCCCGAAGGAGAAGTTTAGGTTTTCGTCAAAAATTCCAATTCGCTAATTATGTGTTTTCTTGACATTTTAAGCCATTCAGTATCAAATGAGACCAAATTTGGAAAAAGTATGTGTGTGTGTATGTGAACAGATTTTTTGCCGTAAATCCACGTTTTCTCAAAAACGCCTGGACCAATTTGAAAAATTTAAAAACCATTCGATGTATCTCGATGAGAACCAGTGTTTCTCAATTTTGTGTGACGATGGGTCAAGCCGTTTCTTTGTAAATCGCAGAAAAGTGATTTTTTTTGTCCACGTTTTAATTATGAACTGTTCGAAAGAAATTGGTTGGGAATCGTGCTGATTAGTTTTTGTTAAAGATAGGCCGGGTCGTTTTCTTGTAATAAAGTGTTAAAAAATTTTTTTTCGACGACTTTTGTGATTTTTTTTGACGGTAGATACTGTAAGTCTTATAGATCATACTAAAATATTACGGCTTTACGACAATTGACTTAAGTCGTTTAAATAAAATAAATAAATAAAATAAAATTTTGTCAAAATTAGTATCGGTTTTATGGCGTTTGTCAAAATAAGAACTTTCATCGACGCTTTTCTTGAAAACGCCTGATCCGATTTCAAAAATTTAAAAGCCAATCAATGTATTTCTCAGTTTTGTGCGACGATCGGCTGATTCGTTCGGTTCACATTTTAGCTCTCAATTCTGAATTGATTTTAAATAATAAAACACTTTTCGAAAGATATTGGTTGGAAATGATAATGAAAGTTTTAGGTAAAGATCTACCGACCCGTTTTTTTTAAATTAACTGTCGAAATTTTTTTTTTTCTATTTTTATGAACCCTTTTTTAGCAATTGATATCCATGGTCTTATAAAACATACTGAAATGTTACGGCCCTACGACAAATAGTATAATGTTAAAAATTAATCAAAGTTTAAGAAAATATTATAATCATGTTTGTGTCAAAAGTTGCTTTTGTGATGTGATGAGTCAAACCTTATTAATTTATTAAAATTTAAAATAGTAAGCTACAATTTTAAGGCATACAAGCAAGTGTCTGTGCAATATAATTAATATAATTACAGTTAATTTAAATGTGTTTGAGAAAATTCTATTTGAAATCGTTATGTTTAGATTTAATTGAAAGTGACAACTTTTTTTTTGTGAAATAAAAAGTTGAGAATTTTATGTAAATATCTAAATTTCAATTTCGATTGATCAAGTTAATTCTTACACATTTCGGGAGTTTATGCAACCTGCCTTAAGACTAAATGCCACTTTCAACTAGTTTTTATATATTTTGTGGGCGATAAGATGTTTAATATATTTTTACACCGGTTGGAAAATTATAAATTAGATTTATTCCACAGAAATATATTTCTATGTTTCCAAGTAAAAACCTATGTCTATGATTCATGATCAGAGAAGCACTGGTACAGGACCTCTGATTCAGATCCTGTAGATCTGACCTTATACCTTATTGACTAGAAATGGGCCAAAGTTCTGGTGCATATTTTTCTGCAATTTCAATAAATTTGCAGTATGCTTCTCAATCTCAATTTTTGTTGATTAATTTAAATTAATTTCCGGAAAGATCATGTATGATGGTTGAAACACATACGATGTTTTAAAATATGATTTATTTATAAATTGCAAAATCTATGCAACTTTCATTATATACGCTCAATCAAAGGAAAATGAATGTTCTTTTACGATTTTACATGAATCAAATCATGCTTGCACGGAAGTTATATTGAAATAAACGAAAGTTATGAACGATGCACGCAAACAGAAAATATTGCACTATGTCGGCAATATTGCACATTGCAGAAACAATTGGAAATACATATATGTTGTAACATTTGTAAATTTCAGAAAAAAATATTAGGGCATTCTTATATTTATTATCTATTCGTGCCTCTTAATTGAAGTTTATTCGAAGTTCAAATATGTAGAAATAATTTGTAGTGTATGATTTTTCATTTTATAAATATGCCAATACATGGGAACAAAACTTATAGAATTATATAGTAAAAGATTTAATCACTTGAAGTAATTTTATTGACATTGAGCAATGTGTTCGAAAATTTTGTAGCATTTGAAGAAAATGATGTATTTTTGTGTGTGTGTATGTTTGGATACAATTTTTTATGAATGATTCAAAAAGCATTGAAATCCTATTGATGAGAAGACGTGCTGATTAGTTTTTGGTGAAGACAGGTCCAGCCGTTTCGAAAATAGGGGGCAAAAAGTGCTAGAAACGGTAATTCAGCTTTTGAGGGAACGGAGTACCCGATTTGAATGATTCATGGTTACTTGTATTGTTGAATTAAAGAATTGGTAAATTCTGATTTTTCGTTTTTGGCACTTTTTGCCCTCTATATACAAAACGTTTAGACGTGCCTTTGACAGAACTAATCAGCACATCTCTCTGTCAATGCAAATCGAATGCTTTTTAAGCTGGCCATGGAAGGGTATCAAAACCCGATCCAGTGTTTGCTAATCCACATTATTAATATTCAATTCATAAAAATTAAAATATGACAAATTATAAAATAACCTATTTAAAACAATTCTCTTGATTATCAACAAATGCATATCATGTGCTGTGTACTATTTATTTTATACAATTTTCATATAAATATACATTATATTACAGGCAAGAATATTTTCATTCATTTTCTTCCCACTTCCCACCATGAAGTACCATATGTCTCTTTAATTCGCTGGATTGAGTAAATACTTTATTGCATATTTCACATTTATAAGAATTTTCTCCGTGACAACACAGCATGTGACGTTTCAGAGTACCAGAATGCGTGAATGCCTTATTGCATATACTGCATTCATGGCGGAGTACTCCATTGTGAATGAGCATGTGACGTTTGAGACTACCTAAATGTGTGAACGTTATACTGCATATACTGCATTCATGGGGGCACTCACCACCGTGAATGAGCATGTGACGTTTCAGATCACATAGTCTTGCGAATGTTTTATTGCATATATTGCATTCATGTGAGCGCTTACCACTGTGAATGAGCATGTGGCCTTTCAGGGTACTTAATTGTGTGAATGTCTTACTGCATATACTGCATTCATGGGGACGCTTACCACTGTGAATGAGCATGTGACTTTTTAGAATACTTAACGTTGTAAATGTCTTATTACATATATTGCAATCATGAGGGCGTACTCCGCTGTGAATGAGCATGTGGGTTTTCAGATGACCAGATTGTGTGAACGTCTTATTGCAAGTATTGCATACATGGGGGCGTACTCCACTATGAATCAGCATGTGACATTTCATACTGCCTATTTCTGTGAAAGTCAAAAACACCAAAGAAATGTGGTGTTTCAGATGACCAGATTGTGTAAACCGCTTATTGCAAATATTGCATACATGGGGGCGTACTTCATTGTGAATGAGCATGTGACATTTAAGACTATCTAATTGTATGAATGTCTTATTGCATAGACTGCATTTATGTTGGCGTACTCTATTGTGAATGAGCTTATGTTTTTTCAGATTACTTAATAGTGTGAATGTCTTATTGCATATACTGCATTCATGAGGACGTATTCCATTGTGAATGAGCATGTGACGTTTGAGACTACCTGATTGTGTGAATGTCTTATTGCATATACTGCATTTATGTTGGCGTACTCCATTATGAATGAGCATGTGACGTTTAAGACTACCTAATTTTGTGAATGTCTTATTGCATACACTGCATTCATAGGGGCGCTTACCGCTGTGAATTAGCATGTGTTTTTTTAAATAAACCGATTTGAAAGTCTTATGACAGATTTTACATTTGAAAGGGCTTTCTTTGCTATTGCTAGGCATGTGATCGACCACATGCTCTTTTAAGTGATCTGGATCTGTAAATGCTCTATTACAAGTGTCACATTCGTAAGCTGATGTCTCGACAAACTCCTGTTTGACCTCTTCTTCTATAGTCACTTCGGAATTCATGAATCTTTGTAAACAGGTTTCATAATCCTCAGTACACGATTCAGATTTAACAATATCATCAAGATCATCGAATTCATAATCAATTTCGCGTTTAATGTCTTCTTCTGAATATTCTGGTGGTTCGATTTTAATTGCTTGATTATTTATAGACATAATTGATTCTTCTGACATTTTTAAATACTTTCACTGCTTATGCTCACAAAATATTTACGAAAATAGTTGTGGACTAAGTAATAATATAGTTTAATTAACAATCTTTTTCACAAATGATTTCAACTCACACAAATTTATTATTTGACATTTGGAGCATAGCGTACGCTTTTAGAAAGATGAGACACTTCTTGTCAAAACGTTTTGATATTCAGCAAGTGGCGCGTATTTTCAAATTCAATATAGTTCTCTTATAGTTCTCAATGTCTCAACTGTCAAAGGTTTTCTTATTATGAATTCTAGAATAAATATTACCTAAAAAATAAAATAATATGGGATTATTAGTTAGCATTTATGGCAAGTTGGATGCACTTTTCAAAACGTGTAAATAATCGTCTTTGTCAGCAAGAATTATAATTAACTACCACTCTTCTTTTATTTATGATTTACTATTTAAATAGAATGTTGATCAATTTATGTCAAAAAATGATGATTTTGTTTTCACTAAAAACAATTTTCAATTAATATTCTTTAATCATACTTATAACATTTGTAATTGTATAGATTAAATTAATTTGTTTAACACATTTCATTTCATCCATCTTGGATCTTAAAATGTATTTTATTCGAGTATGGACGTAAACTGTAATCGGTAGCAATCTACAGAACACCACAGAACCAGGGACTATTGTCTCAGAACAAAATCCGGGTTTAGAAGGGTTAGTTCGGCATCCTACTATAGTCGCAAATTTAGCGCTAGTGAGCCGATGAAAAAATTTTGTCAAATGTTTTATGTCGGTTATTATAAGAAATGTCGGTGTTATTTTTCTGTCAGTGGACAAATTGTGATTTTTCTGTTTATTTGTGTTTGTACATCTATTAATAAAGATTTCATTAAGAATTGCTCTCAAATGCATAGCCCTTTGTTAATATGAATAGAACAACTTCAAGTTCAGATACAGAAAATATCATCACAGCTTTTCATTATCAATCATTGTTGGATTTTTTAAATTTTGTTTTATTTTAATTTTTCATTATTTACAATATCCAAAATTGTGTCGTGAACTTTTCCTTATTGATATCGTAAGAGCCGAATATGAGCCGAATTGTATTCATCTTTGCTTTCCCGTCATATTGAGAGTATCAGATTGTTGTTTTAAAGTTAAATTTTTAACGTATTTTAGAAGTATTGTCAAAAAATCAATAAAAAATGCAAAGAAATTACACATTTTTTGCACTATATTGAAAAAAGCCAATTATATTTGGTATGTATTATTTCTGCATAGTTAATAATTATTAAATTCAGAGTATGGATACCACAAGGTATAAAAAATGTATTAAGATTTCCGTTCCAACGTAAATTTTGCTTCCACTTTTCATATTTTTTTTTATTTCCATATCCCTATCACGCATATCTTCAACATTCAAAGTTCATCATATGCAAAACATTTGCAACAAAACAAAGTTACAATTCAATTTCTCGGAATAAACATGCCATTTTCTAAGCATTGACTTCCCATTTTTCATTTTCCGGATTATAATTTGTTTATATTTTTTAACAAGTTCCATTTCAACTAAATCAGTTCGCAATTTTTCGTCAATAATGCCCAATATAGTTAATTTAATTTTTGGCAGGTTTGAGCTTATGAGATTGAACAAGATATTTTCTTTTTCGATTCCACGGTAACTTCAAACAAAAAAAAATTGAATAAGTAGATTAAGCAATAAATATGGCTGTTATTTACTAATTTCCTGCTGTTATTATTAATTGGTTAATAGTTTCTACTGATATCACATTGCAAAATAAATATGTTTTCGTGATTCCGTATCCATAGTTAAGTTAGTTTTTTTATTTTAATTTATTAAGTATTCTAGACTTTATATAAATAATAAAAAATATAAATAATATATTGTAAATTTTATTTCCCAAACTCGTTTTGGCGCCCCCTAAGGCGTGCGACCCCATTTTTTGCATGCACCGCATGCAAGGCAGGACCGGCCCTGTATATATATATATATATATATATATATATATATGTATACAAGCTGACCCGACAGACTTCGTCCTTTCAAAAAAATCTACCAAATCGGTTCTGATTGCTCTGTTGATCTTTTAAGGTTCTGTCTAAAGCCTCAAAGGATTTTATATGTGCCATCGTGCATTCATCCCAAACAATCAATTGATATTACTGCAAAACCTTAGCCATTGCCGAGTTCTTCGAAATGTTGCAAGTTGGAATTTCATTGCTTTGCATATTTAATGGCAATTTTAGTGCTGAATGGGCTGTTCGACCACCTTCGAGTAAAGTTGCTTCGATTCCCGATGAAGCGAGTGCAAGTGCAATTTTGTTTTGTGAGCGAATTGTTGCTAATAGTAAAAAAATCGAGAAAGTTTTTCCTGTAGCACCAGGCGCATCTAAGAAGTAAATCCCCCCAGTTCCATCATTTGTTACTTTCATAAGAATATCAAATACATACCTCTGTTGTTCATTCAACAGTGCAAGATTTGTTTCGATCAATTCTTTCAAATTGTTGATATCATACAGTTTTTCTCGATGCAACTCTTGGTTAAAAGCATCATGCATTGGACAATTGGGGGCGGCCAGGCCTAAGTGAATTAATACTTTGTTTGACATCATCGAGCACATGTCTTCAATTGAAATCAATGCGTCGTTGTAAATTTCTTTACTGATTTGCATATTTGGATTTCCCATTCTATTCCGTATTTGATACAAAATGTCATCACACATATAAACTTTGTACTTGATCCACAAATCAATTGGGTTTGATGGAAAGCCTGTGGATATGATTATAGAAAACAATGTTTGTATTTAATGAGCGTGTAAAGATATTACAGCATCACTGAGAATTTGATCCTAATGAGCGTGATTTTCTAGCAATTGTAAACGTTGACGGGCTTCCCTGAAGGATCCACACAATTCACCATCAACAGTTCGTAAATGTTGAAATGATGTTTGGCCACGTACATTGACTAATAGCAGTCGTAAATAAAAACATTCACCATGGCTTGGATGTACTGAATAATTTCGATCAATCGCACAAAACAAAAGCACACTCAGTAGAGTATAACAGAAAATGCATGAAAAACACCGCGAGGGCGGCAAATGGACAATGACATAGATTGTTTCAACCTTATATGATTCGAAGTCAAATTCTTTAAAGCCATATCAATTTTATCGCCTGCCGAAAGTAAAACAAAAAAAATAATATCGAGAAGCCGACTACGATTATTTGTATTAGTTAGAAAAGGGCTGTTTTTAGGGTTTTCCCGACGATTATTCGATCATTTCTCGCCGTAAGAACCATCCTTGGACATAAACGAACATTTTAAAAAAGGAATTGGCCAAATTGGTCCAGGCGTTGTTGAGTTATGCGCTTACCAACACATTTTGCGATCCATTTTTATATATAAGATATAATATATAAGATATATATATATATATATATATATATATATATATATACTTAACAAGGGATACGGAGACACAAAAAGCATACTTATTTTGCAATGTTACATCAGTAGAAACAATTAACCGATTAATAATAACTCTGAAAATTAGTACATAACAGCTCTGTTTATTGCTTAATCTACTTATTCAATTTTTTATTTGTTTGAAGTTACCGTGGAATCGAAAAAGAAATAATCTAGATCTAGTGTTCAATCCCATAAGCGCAAACCTGCGAAAGGTTAAATTAATTATTGTGCATTATTGACGAAAAATTGCGAGCTGATTTAGTTGAAACGGAACTTTTTAATAAATATAAACAAAGTATAATCGATAAAATAAAAAATGGGAAGTGAGTGCTTAGAAAATGTCTGGTTTATTCCGAGAAATTGAATTGTAACTTTTGTTTGTGTTGCAAATGTTTCTCATCTGATGAACTTTGAATGTTGAAGACATGCGTGGTTAGGGTTATGGAAATAAAACAATTATAAAAAAACTAAAGCAAAATTTTCTATGGAAGGAAAATCCTAAGGTTTCTTACACATAGTGCGCAGTGGCGGCGCTAGACCATTCGTGGGCGTCGGCGAAATTCGTTTGCGAGGCCCCCCTTTTTGCTAGTTGCAAGTTGCTAGTGGTGCATGGCATCGTGCCTAAAGGCAAATTGCTGAAACTTTTCGTGCCGTAATTTAAATTTTTGAAAAGCTTTGAAAAAATTTGAAAAGTGAAAGAAATTGACTTTTTTTAATTTGAAATATTTTGTTTAAAATTTCGAACTTTTTTTCAAAGCAATCACGTTGCGTTAGCTGCTTAGAGACGAAATATCGAAGCGCGTAAACGCCGCGTTGCAGTCTAACTTAACTTACTATTAATTAAAATCTTTATAAAATATCTGATAATTTGATGTGCATATGCCAAATGGCTTTTGTTGTGCTTTTCTACTGGATTTCCAAAACCGCTAGACCTGCCTTCCTAAAAATGTAATCAGTTTGGCACTTTTTGTCACGTATCTTCAAAACGGCTTATCCTGCCTTTGTTAAAACCTAATCAGCACGTCTTCTTACCTTCAATACATGTCAAATGTTTTCTGAATTTTACAAATTGGTTGACCCATGTTCGCGAAATCGTCGACGAAAATTTGCCAAAATGTTCAGAAATCTTTGAAGATATATATTTTTTTTTTACATTTTTTTGCGATTACTATAACTGTATATGAGATTTATTTTTAATCAGATAAATACACCAATTGAAGTAGACAAAAATTACACAAGTTAAAACAAACTCTTCGGCAAAAATGGTTTGTTCTCCAGCTATTAGAAAAGCACTAAAATTAAATAATTATCGCGAAAAAGTTTCCTTTTGCCCAACCATTTTATTAGCAAATTTTATGTTTTTTCGATCATTATGAATAAAAAATGGATGGAAATCACCGACTTAATAACTAATTAGATAAAATATTGCAATCTGCAAGTGATTAATTAGGTTTAAAAAATCTATGTTCATACTAATTTGAGTGCACAAATCCGAACATCACATAGTAGGGACATGGTCTAAAAG